TATATATATATAAGACAGTCAGCGCTGACCCACAGCAACCAATCAGATCCACATCCTCAAAGAATCAGACTGTTTGCTGTGGAGCAAGGCAGACCATACATTCCTTAGACACTTTGATAAATGAGGCCCACTAAACTTTAACAACTCTCATAGATATCTCATGTAACTGTACAATTCTGTGCTGCTTTTTCAGTGTGTTATCACACAAACACTCACCAATCCTCTGATCGCAGTCTGCAGTCTTTTGCCTCTTTTTCCAGAGCCAGTGCTTTTACCTGCATCATACACCATATATTAGACAGTAATTGTGCCATGGTGACAAACAGAACAGTGTACTAGGGATCAATCCCTATCCATAGTCCAAGGAAAAGGGAGGGTATTGTTCATAGCAACCACACTGCCAAGGTTAAATGTGAAAGGTCACCTTGCAGTGATTTTAATTCTAGAAGACTTCGACAAGTACTTTACAGCAGGTACCCTCAGGGAGAGGCAAGCAGCGTTAGTTTTCTTTCACAGCATCCCAGGAGATTACAGGAGGGACCAAACTGGAGCTCAGAAGGTTGAGCAATATGCCATCCAGCTATAGTAAACATCATTGTTAGCTGCTTAATGTGTTGGGCAGTTTATAGATCAATAATATGGCGCAGGTCTTTACTGTATCCATCTCAACTCACTTCCTTCAAATTTGCTAGTTTCAATGGGTGATATGTGGACACAAGGACCTCCTGTGTCTATGTAATCAACCTAACCTCACAAGGGAAACAGTGCAACCAGGGATTTATTTTAGCAAAGTAGTTACATAAACAGATAGAACGAACATTGCCTACAGCTATATCTATGTATACACACACACACACATACTTGTGATCGCTGAGAGGTGAAGTTAATAACTTTAACTGTCTTGTAACAATGGCATCTAGAGGTGGGTGAGCTATATTGGGCAGCAAGTGAACATGTTGTCCCTGAAGTTGATGTGTTGGAAGCAGAAGAAAATGGATATTTGCAAGCATCTGAGCGACTATAACAACGGCCAAATTGTGATGGCTAGACAACTGGGTCAGAGCAACTCCAAAACTGCAGCTCCTGTGGGATGTTCCTGGTCTGCAGTGGTCAGGAACTTCTAAAAGTGGTCCAAAGAAGGAAAACTGGTGAACCAGGAACAGGGTCATGGGCGGTCAAGGCTCAGTAATCACGTGGGGAGGGAAAACTGGCCCATGTATTCTGAACCAATAGAAAAGCTACTGCAGCTCACACTGCTGAAAAGGTTGATGCTAGTTCTGATAGAAAGGTGTCTAAACTCACAGTGCATCACATTTTGTTGCGTATGGGCTGTGTGGCCACAGACCAGTCAGGGTGCCCATGCTGACCCCTATCCTCCGGTAAAAGCTCCTACAATGGGCATGGGAGCATCAGAACTACACTACAGAGCAATGGAGGAAGGTGGCCTGGTCTGATAAATCACGGTTTCTTTTAAATCATATGGAAGGCTAGGTGTGTGTGTTCCGCTGACTTTGGGAAGAGATGGCACCAGGAGGCACTATGGGAAAAACGCAAGCCGACGGAGGCAGTGTGAGGCTTTGGGTAATGTTCTGCTGGGAAACCTTGGGTCCTCCCATTCATGTGGATTTTTCTTTGACGTGTGCCTTATACCTAAATATTGTTGATGACCAAGTACACCCTTTCGTGGAAACTGTATTCACCGATTGGCAGTGGTCTCTTTCAGCTGGATAATGCTCCCTGCCACCCTGCAAAAATGGTTCAAGAATGGTTTGAGGAACACAACAATGAATTTGAGGTGTTGACTTGACCTCTAAATTCTCCAGATCTCAAACCAATCAATCATCTGTGGGATGTACTGGAAAAACAAGTCCAATCCATGGAGGCCCCATACACACACACACACACACACACACACACACATAACACTGTATTTGCTGGCGTATAAGACTACTTTTCATACTTAAAACCATCCCGAAAATCGGGGGTCCTAAAGCTGGCCATTCACTGCTTAGCCTGTTGGCTGAACAACAACAACAAAATAAATAAATGGTGATGAACCGGCTTAATAAATCTGCACAGTGTACAGCGAGCTGTAGGCTCTAAAAACTCTTCTACAAGTGCCTTTATAAAAGGAATGAAGGCCTCCCCCAGGCATAGATTTTCACAGAAAGATTCTGCTGTGGGGTGACAAAAACATAAATACTGCTTTTCTCTAAATGTCACTTTACTTCCACGCTGTCAGCATTGTCTTTTGCTCCACTCAGCAGAGAACACTAAGGAAGGAAGTTGGGTCATATATAATGCAGGAGTTCCCCAGAAAAACAAAAAGCTGAATTCATTGCACTTGCCTCTAACTTTGCCTTGTCAGTCTGTAACTTCTCGATAGTCTCCATGTATTTCTGCTTCAGGCCATCTAAGACAGCTTGGTGCTGTGCGGCTCCCTTCTCCAAGACTTGCAGACGGCTCCTCATATCTTCCTCTATCTGATTGTGCTTCTCGCTGGCCTCAAAAAACTGTAACAGACAATGACTGGTGTAAGAACAGATTCCTTGTATATACTGTCACAAGTGGAATAAGAAGCCTTGCTTTAAAGTCTCTCACTGGTCAAACTATATTGCTCCTCTATATATGCTATGCATATTCTTCTTCATTATATAAAACATATATTTTCTGAATGGATAAATCCTCTTCGGTCATATGCTAACAAGTGCTTTTAAGGCCACGCTGCCAGACCAGAAGGAGAGGTTGAGAAATGCACCCAACTCACTCCCCACCCTCCCCAACAAAGGGGGTCCTGTTGGACTACATAGTGAGGGCAAACTGGATGTGGGGAGGGGGATTGTCAGCAGTAGCAAAATCATAAACCTTCCCTATGCAAGACCCCCCCACCCCCAACACAGAGCCCCCTGTTGCACTATATAGTAAAGGCCCACTGAAGGTGGGGGGATTATCAGCAGTGACAAAAACTAAAACCGTCGTCTAGAATGATGCACTCGTATCTTTTTCTAGGAGATACTTGACAGGAAGAATTATTTCCATATTGGCTATAATTTCTTTCTAAGCTTATTTTAAGTCCTATTAAAATGGAATGAGTACTGAGGGAAAGTGCATTATTCTTGCACAGCAAGCTCTGTGGACAGAGACTTGGTTACAAATTCACGTAAATGGAATAACTCAGGTGGTCAGATGGATGAACCGTCCAAGTAGTTCCTTTATCTGCAGAAAAAAGGACATGAAGCTCAACTTAAAGCTTATGTCACACTGTGAGGTATTACAAACATGGAACCCAATTTGATGTCACATATTTGTGTTATCTGAAACAGGCCATACATCAGTAGAATTTTATTGTAAAAAAAAAAAAATACGTTTTACGAATGTCTGTCCATCCTTCTAATAGTTACCGGGTCAAATCAGTGAAAAGAATCAAAAGGAGCAGGATGAAACATTTTTCTCAAAGAACAAAAAATTCTAACGGTAAATATGGCTTTCGTTCAAGAAACTCCTTTCATTCCAAAAACTGAATGTTAAAATCAAACAAAACTTGAACAACATTCGTCAAGTATAATAGTTGTGTGTGGTGATGAGAATGGTGCCGGTATACACTAGAGAAGAAGCAAAGGGGACCAGAAGCCTACATATCATGTGGCCGGACTGAATTTGCAGAAAGGGGTAAATACATTTTAACAAATCAAAAATCCACGGTGCACCATCCTGAGAAGAGGGGCGAAATGGGTTTTAAAAAATATTTGTATATTTTTCTTTTAGTCAGGAAGATCTGAAAAAGGATTCATTGCTGCCAGACTGAATGATAAATCAACCCTCTGCGCAGACAAAACAGTTAATAGGTTAAGAACGATATGTGTTAATGAATTACTGCCAACCATAGGACTGCAAATGTTTGACCAATTCATTAGGACTTGGACCCTGTGGCTCCTGTCAGTGAAAATCCGCAGTGAGTCACCGGATTTCTGACAAACTAAGGCAATGGCTACACTGTCAGAACAGTATCTTTTGTATATGTGTTTTAACATCTCTTAGACATTGGAAATTAATAGGTATATGTCTAATGGAGAATAGTGGACGGTGAGGCCTCTTACTTAGAAAGTTAGAGCTGCTCAGCAGTGTTGAGATGTTCTCTCAATGTGAATTGATGATGTATATACATTCAATGCACTTTCATTTGAATTTATTCCCATACACATCTATGGGAATTCAAAATCCGCTTGAAGGACCTCAAAAGGGAGATCAACTGCAGGTCCCATGCACCTTTCAAAAAAGAATGAATACTCAAAGTGTCAAGAATGGGTCAGTGACCTGGATGTGTAGCCTCTCATTTTCCTCTATCTTCTTCTGCAGATCTTCATCAAAGACACTCTTCTGTTCCTGACTCAACTGAGATGACTCCACATGTTTCTATAAGAAATAAAAACACAGCAATAATAGTAAAATAATAAAAAACAGTCATAAGAGGTCTAATGCAAGAACCTGGAAATCCAGTGATGATATATATCGACTCTACTAGAAACTAGTACAAATTCACTCAATGGAATGCACCCTATTTGCTCCATCAGGTAAATCAAATATTGGTGTTGGAGAGCTGGTTAAATGTGATCTAGATCATCACTGATTCTACAGAGTGTGCAGTAGATCCCCCCCCCACCTTGAAAGACCAAAGGGGGTTTTGGGGTCAGAATCCCTGCCTGCTGGGATGTCAATGGTCTAATAAGGAAGGAATGCTTCCTCAATGGGTGAAATCCTGATCAAGAATAATACTATTTCCATATCAGGGCTGTAATATCACCAAGGGGATGCCCTGGCTTCCTGTTTAGGGATCACTGGTCACTCTGCTGATTGGAATTGAACTGATTAGTGCCCCTTTGGACCATTATACCAGTTTAATGAGTGAATCAGATTTACCATTGAAGCAAATTGCAGCTTCCCAGCAAACCACGGTACAGAGCGCACCGTTCAGATTTGCTACGATTTCCAGCTTACATCAATCTATTTCCTTGTCTCTGAACTCAATCTTTGAGTTATTCCAGAAGCCCAACCTGAAGTGGGCAGATATGCTCCAGTACAGTTTGCTTATTACAGTTCATCATCCATACTATATTATTGTGTACCCCCTTTATAAAATAACCTTGTCTGTAAATACTTATCAAATATAACTTATGTGATAAAATATTCACTTGCTATTAAGTAGAAGATGTACCCCTGATCGCCATAGTTTAAACCACTAAAGACCAGGTGTTAAACCCCCTTCCTGTCCAGGCCAATTTTCAGTATTCAGCACTGCGGTACTTTGACATTTATTCTGTCATGTAACGCTGTACTGAAATGAATTTTAAACCATTGTTTGGGGACAGATAGAGCTTCCTTTTGGTGGTATTTAATCACCACTGCGGTTTTAATTTTTTACTATATTAAGGAAAAATTACTGAAAATTTGGGGAAAAAACTGTTTTTTTTTACATTATGTAATAATACATTTATTATTACCCGATTTTTTGGTAAAATATAAAAGACGGGGTCACGTCGGGTAAATAGACACCAAACATGTCAAGCCTTAAAATTGCGCACACCTGCGAAATCGCAAAAAACTACCATACCCAAAACTGACCATAGGCGACGCTTTAAAAGCTTTTACAGCTCATCAGTTTACTGTCATCAGTGATTAATGGCCCTAGAATTATTGCTCTCATTGCGACATTCACAGTGATATGCAACATGTGCGGCACAATGGGCACAACCATCATTTTCGCACGTATGCACACCCGGCGCATGTTTGCGCATGTTTGCCAAAGCCGGAGAGTGACAGCAGAATCCGGAAGTGATGTAATATGCAACACTTCCTGCATCCTGACACCAGAGAGGGTATCGGAGGGAGATCATGTGCTGATCTCCCTCCCTCGGATCCCGTCACAGAGCCACCATGCGGGTCCCCCGCACAGACCAGCACTTTATACAAGCGAACCACCGACTCTATAGCCGGCAGATCACTTTTATGTAAAACAGACATCGTTGCCAGTTTGTAAATTTTGGCAGTTTTGCACATGCCATGCGCGAGTGGGCGGGGCTAACAGGCCGTCTTTTCAGGGCCACTTACATCCAAGAAGCTCCCGGCTGGCCGTTTAATGACAATGGCCAGCCTGGATGCGGTTAATCAATATAATGCGTTTTCTTTATCCATATTCCCACACACAGGACAGTTGCTCAAGATGGCCCTCTAAGCTATTGCTCTTCCATGATACAAGTGGCAGCCAGAGGATCATCAGTGTGCCTAAGGAAGGCAGAACTGCGTACGCATGTCTGACCACCCACTAGGGTCTATAAATGGCATAATTTTGTCCCAGATGGAGTTTAACACTTGCTACTAGACTTTAAAAAAAAATAATACACCCCCTCAACTTGCCCTTTGCTTCTGCCCCGCTCACACTCCAATCTCTACCGACCCCCATATGAACACAGTAGGTTGTCCCTTGTATGAGTCTCTCTTTGTCATTACAATTTGATGTGATATTGAGTTATGTCCTACCTGTTCTTGCTCGATCTAGCCCACTGGCTGCATGCTGAGACCAATACATCGTAGACTTAACCATGAAATTGGCGGTAAGATGCGAGAAGCCTCATGACTACTGTAATATCATGCTACACTTATGGATTGTGCTGTACACCTATTACTGTGTGCAAAATAAAGAATTCAGAAGATAAAATAATACCAATATGATCCCAATTCTCATGCATCCCTTCCCCTTCTTCAGTGTACTACAACTTATATTGTAACATTAAATTAAAAAAACAACACCACCTGTTGCCCAGCCTGCTCCATCATTTATACCCATTAAAAAGGTCCTGAAACATTACAGTGGCCACACATGACCAAATGGCTAGGCATATGTCATGTGATCTCTGCTGAAGTGTATGGTTAGAGTTAAGGCACAGGTAGAGATAGGCTAATTCTGCTTGAATGTCCTTCACCTAAGCTATTTTAGCTCAAACAACATCACCAACACCTAGGGAGGAAAAGATATTTAAAAAATATTTGAGTAATTAAACCTCAGGGATGATTCCAAAAGAGAGAAACAACAAAAAATAAGCCAACAGTTTCCTCCAAATTATTTGGCGCTCTTGAAAACCAATACAGGGCCTGTCAATCGCTGTTTTAAGTGATTTCCAAGTCAAAAGGCTTTTAAGTTATTTCTAATGCTGATTTAATCACTTGCAATGGACGCTGCTCCTTAATGTTTAATGTTTTAGTTTACTACAGAATCAGCTGATCTCCTGAGCACTGGACCCGATATCCTATTTTAGGGTGGCTCCTTTCCCTTCCGTGGTCCTATGGAGCCACCAATGTGTGTGCTAGTAAGATGAATCTCCACAAACACACAGACATAGCAAGGCAATCCACTCCCCTCCTCCACCTTCCTTCTCCAAGATAGTAGGTGGACATCTGATGGAGTCGGCTCTGTTCCTTAAGATGTTGCACTGGACAGGAAGTTCAGAGAAGCAGAGCTGAGAGAGTTAGAGCCAACTGTTCAGAAACATGATGACTAACTGTTTGGGCAAAAATGTAAAGAAATACTTTGCTGGGCGATGTGTATTTGTTTGATCTGGATTCATTATCAATAAAAGTTTAAGTGTGTGATATTACTTTAAAGCTTGGATACCTTTGTCTTCTTGCCCTTGTTTTCCATCACTGACAGCTCCTCTTGCAGAAGTTCCACCCTCTTGGCCAGTTGTTGGTTTCTAAAGTTTAAACTGTCCATCTCCTGCTGTTGTTTCCTCAGAGACTGCTCTTTCATCTTTAGTTGTTCCTGTTAAAAAACAAAATGGAGGTTTCACTTTACAACCCATTACATGAACATTGAAGGACATATTTGTTAAGCAGTGAATGTGACATTCGTCAAACATTCACTGCAGGTGTTTCCTGATGCATGGCTTTTGAATTAGTGATTCACCTGCAGTGAATGCAACAATCACTGCACTGTAATGTAAAACCCATGCATCAGGAAAATACACCTTAGGTGAATGTTTGATGAATGTCACATTCACTGCTTCATAAACATGCCCCCGACAAGCTAACCTGTAATTTACTGAATATTAATACCATTGTTACAAACTTGACAAAAAAAAAAAAAAAAAAAAAAATAAAAAAAAAAAAAAAAAAAAAAAAAATCAGCCCAGCCCAGAGATCGTCCCTGTGAACTACATAACACCCCCCTTCCCATGTCAGGCATTTTACTGCTACTTGAGGCCCCGTTAGAAGGATTTAAAGAAAAACTCTGGCACGAATTAGATTACCCTTGCACTGCAAGGGGTTACTGCTTGTTTTTGCCTAGGGTAAAAACAAGCAGTAACCCCTTGCAGTGCAAGGGTAATCTAATAGAAAGAAAAAAAAGTTCTGCACCCCTTGACATTCGACTTGTCCCACGACAGTAAGGTAGACTCCGATTACTGACATATCTGCTAATGAAGGTACTAGCAATGTTACTGGACATATTTATTCCTACTCCACACAGTGTTGATCATTTTCTCTTTGTTTTGTTATGTTATTAAGATGTTGATTTTGTGTTTGAACGTATTACCATGGATACAGACACGGTTAAGTCATGTAAATCTGTCATGCGGACTCATATATGTTTAAATGATATGACTCCATGTATCAGAACGTGTGATTAATATGTACTTTCATCAATATGGGATTGTATCCCCTTGTACTACTATGACCACTCTTGATGTACATCCATGTAAACCCAATACAAAAGACATGCTTGAAAAAAAAAGTTCTATTGACCTGATCCTAAGAGCCGGCAGTGCTCCCTCCAGCCTGTCTCCCCTTCATTGGAGTGATGGTATGTTCCAGGCATCCTCACTTTGTATACACAGAGGGGAATTTATCAAAACTGGAGTAGACAGAATATGGAGCAGTTGTCCAGAGCAACCAATCAGCTTCTCTCTTCAGTTTGTTCAGTTAAGAATTGAAAATGAAAGGAATAAGCCGATTGGTTGCCATGCACAGCTGCTCCAGTTTTGATAAATTCCCCTCACTGTGTGTAGAATGTGATCGCACAGGACCTCAGACTGCTGCAGCGGAGAGGGAGAGAGGCCCCAGGGACCAGTCTGAGAGCAAGCCAGCTCCGAGGATCAGGTGAGTATATAACTTTTGGTTTGTTTTTTTACCCCAAGCAAAAACGAACAGTTAACCCTTGAGGTGGAAGCCCCACTGCAAGGGTTAATAACATATCTGCCCAGAGCTGACCATACATGGAGTGAATTTCGGTCGCTTCTGGAACAAATGGGCAAAATTTGTTCCATCGGTGGACCTATCAGTAGCCTCCCACCTGACATTCTTTAAACTGAAAATTGAAGGAGCTGGGTGGGAAATTCTCAGTCGCCTAGTGATGGTGATGGCAGCCAATCAAAACATCCACAGATAGACGCAGCTAAAGTAACCTTCTAATCGTTTCTTTTCCTTTAAAAGTCTAATTTGGACCCATCCCAATAAAAGAGTTTCTAGGTGTAGGAGGGAGCGGGGCGCGGTGGGAGGGGGGGACGGGGTAAACTATACTTCTACAGGAAAGTCAGGAACAGAACTTTAGCTGCCTTTATCTCTGGGTCTGCTGATTATGTTCACATGGAGTTATTTGTTGCAGGTATCCTCAGTTTCTGCATTTCCACCAGATAATTAGCATCTAATGTCCAATAATGTCAGCGAAGTGGGATTTCCAACTTCCGCAGTTTCCTGGATGGTAGGGAGGCACCGATAGAGATGCTAGTGCCGATACCGAGTATTCGCCCAAATGTTCCGATATCTTCCCTGATACGGGAACTTCTGGTCAGAGGAAGATTTCCTCTGACCAGCAGTGTCATAGGGGAACATGGAGCCAGCATCCCGAGTAATCAGGAAGTCCAACTGCGAGTAATGAGCCGCCTCCTGGCTTCCTGATTGACCAGCGGAAGCACCGGTATCCATACTGGCGAGTACCGACAGCAAAATATCAGTACTCTATACCGAAAAACCGGTATCGGTGCATCCCTACTGGATGGAGTTAGTTTAGAAGTCTTATACCACACAGATATAACTCAATATATTACATTATTGTAACCAATTTTGCACAAATTATTTACTTATACAAACCATTACCATGTCTTGTTTCTTTGTATTTTGATCTGTGCACCAATTCTAGCAACAGCCTGTGACGACATGGTGATCAGTTTATGAGGTAAATGTGTTGATTTTAGGGAGTTGGAACTCCCCAGTCAGCTCGGATTGAGGACTGATCTGGACTTTTTAATTACACAAGAATGGGAGCTGGAACAGGCATACAAAAGACTGTTCGACACTGCTCAACAGCATGCCCCAGCAACCACAGAGGTTTTGGAGCCACTAGTCCCAGCAGAAGAGCTGGCATCAGAGCATAGCACTGCAGAGGTCCTCTGCCCAGCACCGGCAACACCTCTGAAGCTCCAGGGAGCCCGGGCAGGCAGCCCCTCTCCCCAACAGCAGGCCGATGCAGAGGAACTACTAGTCCCAGATGAAGAGCTGGCATCAGTTATCACTTGCTGTATATAAGTTTGTGCAGTTGCTCAATAAATCAGAGTTTGTTTACCCTACACTCGAGCCTTGGCTAGTGACTGGGGAAACTGGGAGCTAAGGATCTTCAGGTTCCACTATCTCCTCAGCAAGGAAGAAGACAGCGGCGGACATACTGATCCTGAGTACGGGGGTCCGTCACACAGCCACTTCCCCTTTCCTCCACTCCACTCTCCAGCACCCCGAAACCCCCCTCAAAACCCCTGCCTTTACTGTTAAAATGCTTGATAACTGAAATAACAGATAAAAGTCCTGACACGGTGAATAATTTATATACATACCTTCAAAGCTGTAGAATTAGCTTGCTCATCTAAAACAGCCTTCTTCAGCACCTGGTTCTGAGCTCGAAGCTGAATTAAAAGAAGGCAAAAATATTATTTGAAGTCCACACACGCATTCGCCAACTCTCTCTAACAAAATCCATTTGAAGTTTGTGTTCTTAAAATTAAAAAAAAGGGGAGTACCTGTGATAGGTATGCTGGAGCTGCCATTGTTTACTTGTGTAAAGGTGCAGACCCATCATCTTTATCCTTGCTTCACTACCCAGGCCATACCAAAGCTAGAGCAAGCAAGTAGGAAAGGAGATCAAAGTCCACTGGCTGCATAACGCTTCCAAGTCAGTGGCTCACTAGGTAGTAAGGCCAGGATCAAGCCACAGCCTTGAAGCCTCCACCTTTAAAAACAGCATGTCATGGCAGCTATTGTGATCATCACAGGCTCTCTTTAAGGGCTCATTCAGACAAGTGTGCTTGTGCATACAACATGCACGCTTGTAAAATAACACTGTGGGTTCAAGTGTGAGCACCCGGACGTGCAGATTTGGGTGTGCATATGACCACGTGTATTTATGTCCAGCCGCGTCCTCCCACATGGAAGAACAGGCTGCTGCGCACAATTACACACAGCACCTGTCCCTCCCTTGGGTCATTTTACGGGCATGTGCGCTGTACCAACGTGCATACCCATCTGAGTGAGCCCTAAAGGCTAATTCACACCATATTCACGGTCACGGCGTTGTCACATGGCAGATGATAATATGATCATGATGATTATAACTGGGAGTTCCTGCACAAGGACCTTCATGGCAGGATGAAAAAGGTATTCTTTCCATAAACAATTCCGGATTTAAAACATATGAAAAATGACTTTTGGATGGACAAGAACACATTACTGCTTATTGGAGATTTTGGTGATTGGGTTTATATTACCTTGATACAAACAACTGTTAACACTGGACATGTTAGATGATACTGTAACTGTATTAAGTATTCAAGTATCATTATCTGTATCCATGAAATGAAGACATGACCATTAAAAAGCCCCTACTTAATATGAACCTGTATTTCTGCCCGGAATGGTTCCTTTTTCTGCTCTTCATAGAAACTCATTGTTATCGTCTCTTTTATATCTGACCAGTTTAGGTTTGTGTCCTTCCCGACAACAGTTAGCTGATCGTGAAGTATCAGTAAATTGACAAGATCATCCCTCCTGTAGGCAAACTGCCAGTTCCAAACTGACAGCAAAGAAAGCCAGGTTGCTAAGAGTGCCGAACCTCTCTCTGTCAGGTATGTCCTCACGTCCTACACACTGTATAGTACATGATAACTCACAGGACATTAGACCGCCAGAGTGGAGGGGGAGCAAGGCTGAAGGGGCCAGTGTAGGAGCCAGCCAGGATAGTGGTTCAGGTATTCTGACAGCAGGCTGCTGTCAGAATACTCGAACAGAGCTGAACACTGATTGGCTGCCAGCTCTGTGAGTTCGACCTGTTACTCCTTCGATCAGCTGATTGAGGCATGCCGGCTGAAAAGGTGTCGACAGCGGCAAAGGGTGTCGTCATCCTGACTTCAAGGGAGTCCGTACATCTCTCGCTGCCTGAGGCCGGGAGAGGTATCGATCCGCTGGTAGTCAGGCCCTGGGAGGGGTTGTTGGGGTGCTGGCTAGCTGCCAGCTGGTGGTGCAGGTCCAGGGGGGGTCCGGCACAATTCACTGACGTCACTGGTTGCCAGGAGTTCAAGCTGGAAAGGCAGACCCGCCACTCCCCGACCCGATGAGATGCCACCCGATGCAATCGCCTCATTATAGGGAGGGTCCTGCATATCTCCCACGCTTGTGCACAGGAGTAAATTCTGCTGGCAGGCAGAATAAGAGCGTTTCTTGTAGAAGAAGCTCACAGAGTCTCATCTATAATAAGTCACTCTGCCACTAATGTTTCATCTTAAGCCACCATTCACACCTGAGCGTTTTGTGCAGCATTTCCCAAAGTGAGACAAAGCTCAACAAGAAGAACCCCTTTATTTTCAATGGTCCTCCTCCTAGTATGTAGTGCTAGCCTAATAAGCGCAACAAAAATGCTTCTGAAACCGAAAAAGCTCACGCTCAACTGTGAACGCAGGCCAAGGTATCAGTACCAGTTTAAGAAGAAGCTGCATTAGTAAATGTTCACCCCTATGTCTCAGGCTCTATTTATGCCCCCCCCCCCCCCCAAAATTGATTAAGGGACGCCCTTACCTTCACAA